AATTGTTAATGGATGTGCGGATCCATTGCACAATTTCGTAATATTTCCACCTCGACAGCTACGCTACATCAAAGGTTATTATTCACTCATTGGCGTCTGGTTCATTTTTAGCTGTTGTGTTGTGTTTGTGGAGTCATTGTTTTGGTCGAGCATGATGCAGATCTAGGGAGCATTGGGTGACCTTTTCCTGAGCAGTCTACAGCAGTCCAGAAACCTTTCTGAGGGCTAAATGTCATTGTAAAATTAATGTACCTCAGCCGAGCCGACCATGTTAAGCCTACTGAGGATTATTTAACTGAAGGCGATGATGAAGCTTTAAAAGGCAATAATGTCGGTATCTTTTCTTCCCCTTTTGATTTTCTAATATAAGGATAAAATACTATATTGTTAAAGACGAGGAGAAAACTTCAGTGGTGATTTCTGTGACGATAACATATTGGTGACTAAGACTCCCTGGCCTGACAGCAGGGATGCCAGGTTTGCCTTTATAGAATAGGTCAAACAATTTTCTACAAAGGTCAAATAAAAGGCCAAACCCCTTTTTTACCAAATGCTATCTAATAAATCACGATCATATTAATTATTATGCTTACATACGGTATATAATAAATAATTTTATTCGATAATACCAGACAGTAACAATGAAAAAGAGCAGGGATACTAATCGCTACGAGAGCTCTATCAAAACTTTACTCTGTTTTGTCATACTGTACCAAACAGGAAGGATGCAAACAATATTTTACCGATTGTATATTCTGAAAGTCACTTAGCTTGTACATTATAATTATCAATACTCACCAAATGTTGTCCAGTCTGAAGGCGTCTCTGTTAAGTAACAGCAGTTCTAACTTTAGAAGTCCACCTGCATTATTTCCTTAAAATTTTCACATTCTTGCTCTCTTAGATATTGGGAAAATCCTGTACTTGCTGCTGATGTTGATGGTTCTGTTGATGGTCCTTCAGTGCGGTCAGCTTTGCTCTTGTACATCGAGTTGTTGAACAAACTAAGCATCTTATCAGTTACTTGAATCTTATTGCAGCATTTATTTCTCACCAGCAAGATGACTCCTAATTCGTAACACAGCTTCCATGGTTTCTAAGGATAGCCTGTTTCTTACCTTTGTCTTGATATTTGTTACGTGGGAAAAATTCTTTCAACAAAAGCATTTCTTAATGGCAATGCATGAACATTAAAAACAATTTGTGCAAGTTCAGAAAAAAACATTTGACCCCTGCAGCAGTCTCATATTTCTGCACAGTAATACAAAACTTAACAATCACTTCATCACCAGAAACTCTTGTTTCCAGTCTACCAAAAAAGGTTTATCATACTAAATTTGCAGCAAAAGTGTGTTCCTACTTGCTTTCGTAGAATCATTAGTGATGTGAACAAATGCTGCTGCAATACTTGTAAAAGACTTGCGCATCTGACTCAGACACTCCTTTGACTAAAAATATTTTAGATTTTCAACAATGTCAGTGTCTTTACTTAGCCTCATCTCTAACTGATTTTTTGGCCTCAAGAAGGAAATCATAGCATCTCTGTTTAATATTTGATTTTTCTTGTTCAGATATATTTGATCACAATGCTTATCTGACAAAGGACATTTCGATGAAAGTATGTAGTATGACGTTTTAGTGTTATTCAATTATATCACGAAATACAGCAGGCATTGTCCAAAAAGGCCAAACCGTGGTTGGCCTCAAGGAAAAAAAAATCGAAGGCCAAACTAACCTCGTAAAGGTCAAATTGGCCTTTTAATGCCACTGTCAGGCTGATAGTGCCACGCGCGCCATTTATGCTATAGGATATACAGTAGACGCATCACTCGCTGCTGCTAACGTTCACGGCTTGTTCCGAACAAACATTTCGTCACTGAACTGAAACATACAAGCTCTTCGGTGGTCGTGCCAGATTTTCTGCTACCGTGCAATTTTCTCTGTGGAACGAAATTCGTTGTACTGTACAGTACCATCTTAATAATATTTGATTTTTTAACAGTGAGCGTAGATACTTTAAGGCTTTCCTTCCAGTCTGTAGGAACAACAGTCTGCGTGGCTCGAAGGGCACTTATAAGGTTACTGCTAGACACCGCTACAGATGTTGACTTACTACACTCATGCACGCACATAAATATACTACACATAATATAAATGTTTATACAGTATACCGGTACGTATATTCATATTCATAAATACAACTAATTTTGTTTAGTGACGCGTAATTCCACGTGAGTCATAAAGAGCGAGTTTCTTTGTTGTTTGTGATGGTCTGTTATTGTTTTTGCTGTTGGTGTAAAGCGGATGTGATGGGTTATAGTGGATGGACAGGCAGCCAGACACAGATAGCAGTTTTAACAATAAAAGTAAATACAGACTACGTATTTAATATCAATGAGAAACTATAGAGGGAGAAAATATTAGCAAAGAAAAAATATCAAATTAACGAAGCAAAACCAAAGAGTGAGTGTGTCGTTCAGATAACCTTATCTAATTGTTTTAATTTTAGTGGAGCATTTTCATTTAAATTTTCTTGACATCCTTGTGTATTTGTTTATTTATTTAATTGAATCTGTTTGCGTTCTCTTTAATTTTGTTTATTATATTATTTAACAGATTAAGTTCTTTTGTTTAAATGTATAACAAAGGTAGACATTATTAATTGTCTATTATATTGTTTATGGATTTTTTCTGAATAATTTGTTTTGTGATGTGACTAGACCACCATTAGCTCCCCCCCCCTACCCCGACTGACCTTGCTGATGGATGCTGTTCACATTTTTACCCAGTATTGATTAACTAGTTAATTATTACCCATGTTTTTGCTTTGGTGTTTGTTTTTATCACAATTAATATAAGGGGAAATATATACCATGTGATGCTTATAAAATGAGATGATAAAAAAAAAATAGCTAGGAATTACAAGAAACTAAAAAATACAATACAGAAATACAGCAAAGAAATACAAATACAATTAAGATCTACACAATACCGAGACATACAATTGACCGGGAAATACAATAGAGAATCTACTAAGAAATACAATAAATCAGGAACTTCATTTCAAAGTTGATCGCTATCTGATTATTGTTAACGAGCTTCCGAGTTGTTCGTTGTCGTGCGCCGTTTTGTTGTTGTTTATTTTCGTCATTGAATAGCGAACCAACTGAATCAAGCGGCCACGTACCGACAATAGGATACCTGCTATCAAAATTCCCTGGACAGACATTTTGCAGTACCTGGCATCTACCTGCGTTTTACATATGTAACTGGTATACAGATGATGAACACTGATTTTCAAAATAAATTGAGAGAGAGAGAGAGAGAGAGAGAGAGAGAGTTAAATTAGGTTAGGTTAGGTTAATCTAGGTTAGGTCTGGTCAGATTGTTCTCTTTGTAATTGGTGCAATGGTACTCTCAGTGCATAAACTGAGTTAGCTTTCATGCTCTACAGGCGGATACATTGGTCTGTAGGTCAGGTCAGGTCAGATGATGTTTTGTTGTTGACTGCACACAAGTACAGATTAACCCAATTGAGATAGTTCAAAGTCTTTACCTATCTCTAAAAGTGTCCTCAGCGTGTGTACTGTAGATGACAGACTCTTAACACTCATTTCTAACCTCTTGCATGTCTTGCCTCTATAAATTACCTAACGTCCTTTTAACTGTGTCCGGAGTCTCGATGATGCGTTGGCAGGGAAAAGCTCGTTCGTTTGTCAATAGGTGAAGGAGGATACAGTGTTATCTTGTAGTGATAGCAGCGTCGCGCTCTCACAGTGAAGCTTGTGTAGCTTAGTGGGTTGGGGTGGTGAGGTGTGTTAGTTTGTGATACGTCGAGTTTGTTTGAGGTTGAGAAGTACTCGTGGATTATCCGTAATATATAACGTGTACAAATGTTCAGCACTGTACAGTTCTTGCACAATAATCGGCACAATAGACCTTTCGCTCAGCAAATTTTGGGTTTACCTGAAGATTCGCCCGTCCCTCAGCTTATTTCACCCTTTACGTGAACCTAATCTAATCTTATCCCCAGGTAGCGTTAGGGTGGTTAATTTTCAGGTGAAATAATCTGAGATGAATCTTTAGTGGATCCTAATTTTGTACACAATATACTTTGCGCTCACTTTTTCCTGTTACCCGTAGTTTTATTCACTTTAATGTCTCTGAACAACGTAGTTTTCATACAAAATATTTTTTTTTTTCAGATTGGGGACGAAAAAGAAAGTTAAACCGAGTGTAGAATTTCCCTTATGTAAGAGATTATTGTGATGAGAAGACGCCAGTGTGTGGGTAGGTGTGTGTGTAGTTGAAACACCACATGGGGAGCTCCTTCTTAGGGCCAAAATCCCTCGTGTCGACCTTCAGAACGATGCTAAAATCCCAGATCGACTTTCCTTTAGTGATTACTTGATCTAAATACAAAGGATTTTATTTAGATCAAGGTCTATCAGAGATATAAAGAGGATCTGTGTGGCTATCAGGTTGACTACAGGGTTATCAGGCAGGGCTATAGAGCTACCACATTGACCACAGGGCTACTTGATCGACCACAGGGCTACCATATCAATCTCAGGGCTACCAAGTCAACCACAGACACGACTACAACTAGATCGACCTCAAACGTTTCGATTCGACTACTGATCATCAAAGACTACCCATAATCTGGTCGATTTTAAAGGTTGACTAAGATACCATCGACTTCAGAAGTGAACGTCACTAGGAGTACCTAACCTGCTGCGGAGGTACCAGATCGACTTGGAAGCCATCAAGTCGACCTGGAAGCCATCAAGTCGACCTGGAAGCCATCAAGTCGACCTGGAAGCCATCAAGTCGACCTGGAAGCCATCAAGTCGACCTGGAAGCCATCAAGTCGACCTGGAAGCCATCAAGTCGACCTGGAAGCCATCAAGTCGACCTCGAAGCCATCAAGTCGACCTCGAAGCCATCAAGTCGACCTCGAAGCCATCAAGTCGACCTCGAACATCAAGTTGACCTTAGCCATGACCTTGAAGCCATTGACCCATCGTTGACCTTGAAGCCAGTTGACCTTGAAGCCATTGAAGCCATCAAGTTGACCTTAGCCATCAAGTTGACCTTGAAGCCATCAAGTTGACCTGAAGCCATTCGACCTTAGCCATCAAGTCGACCTCAAGCCAAGCCAGAAGCCACCAAGTCGACCTCGAAGCCAGTCGACCTCGAGTCGAAGCCACCAAGTCGACCTCCAGTCAAGCCACCAAGTCGCCCTCGAAGCCACCAAGTCGACCTCGAAGCCACCAAGTCGACCTCGAAGCCACCAAGTCGACCTCGAAGCCACCAAGTCGACCTCGAAGCCATCAAGTCGACCTCGAAGCCACCAAGTCGACCTCGAAGCCACCAAGTCGACCTCGGAGCCACCAAGTCGACCCCAAAGCCACCAAGTCGACCCCAAAGCCACCAAGTCGACCCCAAAGCCACCAAATCGACCTCAAAGGCACCAAATCGACTTCGAAGCCGGCAAGTCGACCTCGAAGCCACGAAGTCGACCTCGAAGACATCAATTCGACCTTTGGAAACCACCATGAGTCCCGTTCTGCGACAAGTTCGTGTATGGCTGTGCAAGTCAAAACACGGTGAGTATCTGCATATTTTGTGGCACAGTTTAACGCTTGAGCTCTGTGCACCGCTGTGATAATGAGCACACATGTATGGTACTTTAGTAATGTTATTCATCGCTGTAGAATACTATGCACCATTGTACAGTATAGTCTCCTTGCATTGTTTAGTGTGTACTAGTGTACGACTCTCCATCTTTATGTAGTACTGCACGAAACACTATACTTCCACCGTATAAAACTGTGCACATTTTAATAATACTTTGGATCTCTTTATTGCACACTACTGTCATGTGCATTATTAGTTATGTAATACTACTCACCACTGTATAATACTGTGCGCTCTTGTACAGTAATAAGCAGCACTGGGCAACATTTTGTAGTACTTTGCAATATTGTGTAGTATTGAAATATGCGATGGTACTATACCACATTTTGTAGTACTCTGCAACATTTTGTAGTATTGTATTTGACTGTATTGATGATGTGCATCTCTATAGTGCAGTAAATTGCTGTGTAGTGCAACGCACTGCAGTAATATACAAAGATTTATAAAACTGAGCATTAATGTACAGTAAAATACAGTGTCTATAGTATTGTGTACTGTACGGTACATCACATCTCTGAAATAGTGTGCACTACCTATATAGTACTGTGCATCACTGCATAGTAATGTGCACTGTTGTAGAGAACTATACATCACTGTACAGAATTATGCACCATAACAATGCTATGCGCCATTGTTTAGTACGTTATACCATTCTACAGTGTTTTATTAAATGTTGGCACTATCGTGAATGGATACTGGCACTTTAATGGCAGTTGTTGTCGAGGGATCGATCTCTCGCTCTTTCTCTACCAATAGTGGTGTTCCACAGGGTTCTGTTCTTTCACTTACTCTCTTCCTTCTTTTTATCAATGATTTATTTCGTAATATTACTAATTTTATCCATTCCTACGCTGATGATTCTATTCTTCGCTCTTCTCATTTTTCCCTTCCCCCTGACTCTCAAACTAGATCTGTTTCTAGAGCTGATATCGTTTCTTCTACCAAAGCGGGGGTGTGCAGCATCTCCGAGTGAGGAAGTAGAAATTTGGGCAAATTCAATAGTAATAAAACACACTATTTACCAATTACACTTTCTGAAATAGAAGATATGCCACCAATCACATTTCAGTACGCAACCATTCTGCCAAATTCTAAAATAGATATGTTAGGCCTCACCATTTCCTCTAATGTCATGGAAGCCACACATCCACATCATAGCTAAAGCTGCCTCCCCCCTCCCGAAAGCTGGGAATGCTGTACAGATGCCATAGCTACTTCACTCTTGAGCAGTTGCTTCAAGTATATAAGGGATTCATTCGTCCTAACTTGGAGTATTTGCTCTCATACCTGGGGTGGCTCTTCTGTCCAACTGTTAGATAGGGTGGAGTCAAAGGCATTTTGTCTTAACTCTCCTTTCGTCAATAATCTCTCTTCCCTTTCTTTTCGCTGCAATGTTGCCTCTCTCTCTCTCTCTCTCTCTCTCTCTTTTACAAGTACTTTAACGGGCAATGTTCGGTGGATTTGGCATCCTGTGTACCGTTGGCAAGGCAGTGGACACGTAACACTTGTTTTGCCCGCGGTGCCTTGCACCGTTTCTGTGTGAGTGTCGAGGACTGCAGGATAACCAGTTATAGTAGTTTTTTCTTTCCCCAGACAGCCAAACTGTGGAATGATTTGCCTTCTTCTGTGTTTCCATCCTTTTACAATGCCTAAATTTCCGTTTTTGTTCCCCCCAGGCCCCGTTGTGGGTCGATGACCTATGCCCGAGTGGGCTATTCCCATAAAATATATTGGCACACTATCATGATGTATACACAGGCTCTATCATGAGGGATATTGATATTGGCGCTTTACCTGGCTATGTATTGACATTGTTTCTTTGTGTACTTGCACTGTGTCGTGTTGGGTATTAGCACTATATATGTGTGTATTTAGGCACGTATTTATTGTGTATTGGCATTACATCGTTTATTTATTAATTTAAATATGATGACTTTTCCACCTCAAGATCCGTACCCTTCCTGAGCTTATTTCACCTGATGATGAAACTCCTTAACTTAACCTTACTTAACCTTACTTTACCTAACCTTACTTAACCTAACCTTACTTAACCTAACCTTACTTAACCTAATCTTACTTAACTTAACCTTAATTAACTTAACCTAACGATAAGGAGGGAGGTTGATAACGACACCAAGAAGAGAGATGAAACGGGAAGTGACAGCTACATCACTCATAAGTATGGGAACGAAGATAAGGTTGAGGTAATATACGAGTATACGTGCCTTGCCTTAGCTGTAAATGAGATACTTTAATGAACAATTGGGGAAGTGAAGGTGGTCAAGTGAATTCCGTGACTCGACTTCTTTGTGTACCGAAGGCTTCATTGTACAGTATCCACTTTCTCCTTCATGGACTGTCAGCTGAGCCTATGGAACTCTCTTTCACTTCGCCTCGTGTTCGAACATTGCTTTAGTGAGGAGAGGCAGGGACTCTTACTTATTACCAGGAGAAGAAGAGAAAAGAGAATGAATATCGAAGAGAAACGATAGAGATCTTTAGGGGTCATCTTAACCAGTTAGAAGATGCATTGATTCTCTGAGAGATTTTCATTTACGTTAAGTCTTGGATTACTGAGGTGGGGAGACGTCTAGTAGTTGTAGGGGCTTGAAAACTGTTACACTGGCGAATGGTGAGGTGTTTGGCATTCATACAGTTAGCCTTCTCTGGTATAAGATGGCCCATGAGGTCTTTGCTGACATGTTACTTGACCTAGATTCTCAAGGTCATCCTACTGCCCGATTTCGTGGTACTCTTTGTAAATCCAATTATTATGCATTTATGATTGTGTGCCAAATTTGATGCTTTCGACCAGTGTGTAACGATTTTACCCACTATCTGCCCCACTATGTACTGTACACCAGTGGTCCCCAACCTTTTGTAGGCTCTGGGCCACAATCATTGCAAATATAGTGGAGGGCGCCAAAACTTTGGATCTACAATAAAAAAAATCTCAAATATACTGTACAGTTATTTGCAGTTTTACACGTCTACCTGTTACTAATTACACATATTTTACATTTACTCTTGGACAGGACGTATGTATCTACCCCAGTGAGAAGGCTGGCTCTCTCTCTGGGCCCGGTTGTATCAATTATTACATATTTTTATTAATTTCACTCTTACAAAGAATCCCAAATAATTCACAATATTCTAATAAACCTTCCGGCGCCCGCGAACTACAGTACAGGTTGGGATCACTGACGTACAGTATATGGATGGCGCCCAGTCTTATTTAACGTCTGTGTAGTCTTTATACTTTTTTATAGAACCTCATGAAGATTTACCCCAATTTATCTCGCCTGATGATTAAACACCATAACGTTAATTCAGGCTGACACTCGTTATAGAGTATTGACACACATCACCTTCTCGAATAAACTACTGTAATTCTGTAAGGGGTATATTAACTGGCTGCCACTACAGATCAAACTAGTGTTTAGCAACAACACCCGGACACATCCCACCTTCGCAGAACATTGAGGAGTCAACACACACCGTCAGGTATACGTGGGTGGTGTAAGGTAGGCCAGGTAGTGGTAGATAAATGTTATTGTACTTTAGTTTTACATGTTACTCCGAATCACCTGACGATTACATACCCTTGATTATTACACCTGAAGATTAATCACCCTAACGCTATCCTTGTAATGGCCCTTGTTTCATAAACAGAAGTATTATATAAATGGGTTAATTACATTTGATTTATACACTGAGTCATCCCTGTAACTTTCCAAAGGCTATGAGGTGACATGTTCAATGCACGTGATAAGGTGTGCCCACGGGAAGCTGCGCCATACTATGCTGAGTAAAGGCATAAAGTAGTCGGCTCTCTGGCCACCTGAAGCGGGCAGTAGCTTGATATCCTGGACTAGAGGAAGACGTTATTTGAGAGCCGCAGTGGATGGCTCCGTCTTTCCTCGAGGGAGGACGACGCTTCTATTCCGTTCTCCCTCGATGGGTCACTACTCAGAGTCTCACTCCCAAACTTACATCGAACGGACGTTGATTCACGTCTATTTACATAGACGCTGTCCTTTCTTACCACACTCATAAATAGTGGAACCTACGGTTGATCTACACTCAGGAATTATATAAATAATACTTTTAAATAAAAGAAGAAACTTCAATTGGGTTTCGTTACTAAAGCCCAATATAATATATGTGTACCAACCTGGAGAACATTGGAATTAACCAGCCGGTTCATCCTGACTACCTTGTTTTAACCTAACGCCCCAGGTAGCGCAAGGTAGTTATTTTTAGGTGAAATAAGCAGGGGTGTCTAATCTATAGGTGAACCCTCAATTCTATGTTTTTTTTGTTTTGGTTATAACACGTGCAAGATAGCTTCTTGATTTGTATATAAATGTTCAAGTAGTTCAAGACTGTGGTATAAATCGTTCAAGGTTAGACTGGTAGATAAGTCAGCTGTGTCTTTACTTCTGAGGCGATACTTTTCCTAATATGCAAATCACGTTGAGATGTAACTGAGGTGACTTCAAACTGTGTAAAGCTACGAATGTTTTGAGAGTGTTTAGTATTGTGAATGATGTGCGGCGGTGTAGTGGATAAATCGCTCACCCCCTGAAGCATGCATAAATGAAAATACAGCCCGTGACCTTGGTTTATCCAATATTAATGTCATTGGTCACCCCCAGTCTACCTAACTGTGAATGGGTACCTAAATTTACAGTAAGGGACGTGAAGACCATAGACTGCAGTGCTGCCAAACGCCACTTCCGTGTGACTTAATATCCATATACTTAGTGTATCCAGGCGTCTCCGACAGATCTTTAGGCCGATGAGACACTTTCTCTATATAAATTAATACTGAAGGTTTTAAACTTTTTATGTGGAGGGATTAATTCATATTTTTATGTCGTTTAAGCGATTATGTCTTGTGTTTTCG